AAAAGCTTCAGTTTGTGTTTCTTAACGTAGTTAAAGGGTGGATCATTTTTGGACCATTGTCCTTTTTTAGAAGCTACCCTCTTTTCAGTATTCAGTTCACTTCACTGACTTGGTCACATCTGCTTCCAGAATTTGCTGATATTTAGTGGAATCCATTCTTCTATCTACCTGTGCAATGTTTCTTGTACAGGTAGATAGAATTGGCTCCAACACAGCCCCAAAGCATAATAGATACACTCCATACTTTACAGTTAACAAGGTGTTCTTATCATCAAATGCTGCTTTCATTTCTATTAAACATAACTTTGATGATTGTAGCCAGAGTTCCATTTTTACTTTATCAGTCCACAGCATATCTAAAATGCCTCTGGCTTATCTAGATGTTGTTTTGCATGCGTCAGACATTTTCAATGAGATTATGTTTGTAAAAGCAACACTGCACAGCAGAACAGTGCACCACCACTCCTATGTCAGCTAAACCTTCCTGGAGGTGCTTTGCTGTCAAATGAGGGTTGTACTTTACCCTTCTGGTCAGCATACAAGCAGTTCTATCTGATAGTTTTCCTGGTCTTCCAGATCTTGCATTTACTTCCACAGTTCACCTTAGCTGGCATTTCTTAATGACATTTTGCACAGCGGAAATTGCAAGCTGGATGTGTTGCCTTCCCCTGCTTTGGAAGCATCAGTTTCATTTTCAATTTCTCAGCCAGCTGCTTAGAGGAACCCATGGTTACTGTTAGCACAAGGTTTGAAGTGAATTAATTACACTCTGATATTGTCATTAGCCAATAATTCCTAATGAAAATTCTTGATCTGCCTAAAGGGTCTTAACGAGTCACTGGAGGATTAATGAGTTAATTAAGTTCTGACACCTTACAACTGGAAAGGTGTCCAAACTTTTGCACATGCCAGAATTACTATTTTATTTTTTCTATTTTTTAGGTTAATTTAATATAAAGTAACTATGCATTAACATTTGCAGAAAAATGTTTTAAATGATTTGCTGTAGAGGTTGTGCTTACTCCTTTTCACTTCAGAAATCAAAAATTGTGTAATCTGGTTGCTCATACTTTTGTATACAACTGCACATTTGATTTTTAGAATGATAAACATATGTTAGCTTTCAAAACTTAGTGGAATTAACTACTGCTCACCCCCATCTTCAGCCAGTGGCTGCTGGACCTCCTTCTCTGCGTGAAACTGTATCAAATAACAGCAGCATTACAATGAAGCATGTGATTTGTCTCTGTGACTTTGTGATTTAAACAGATTTATAATACCTCACTAATATTCGTGTCTTTATCTCCTTCAAAATCATTCCCTCAACATTTATAAGGTTTGTAAATGATATAAAAATGCAGAATTGCAATTAGGTGGCCATTAAACTCTGATATTATATTCACAATGTATCTTCAGAATGTTGTTGCTTCATAAATCTGAACTCATTATACTGAGAGTCTCACAGATGAGGCAGAATGACCAAACAGCTGTGTGTGGACAGCCAGTGAATGAAACAATCAGCAACATGGAGGTGATGAAAGAGAGTGGATGGCTCACCAGCAGAACACTTCCTGAGCCTTGGAGCTGCCTCATGGCAGCGTGCAAGTCACTGTCTCTCACATGGGGGAACTCGTCCACTCCACTGTGGATCAAAAAGCATTTAAATCCGGGCACTCCGGCCTGCATCATGGGCCTCAGCTCCAGCTGAAGCAGAGAGATACACAACAGCACTGCTTATTTAGTAATAGAGGTGTAAAAGTAATGTAAAATGAGATGTAAAATGCATTTGAGGATAGAACTTAATTTACACTGAATGTTAGTATTGATTATAATCAATCAATAGTCAAAAAAGAATGCACTCATTTTTGGCCAAAGTAAAATTCTCAGGCTACATAAAAAAACACAAAGTTATATGTTTTTTATTTCTATTGTGTCTGTCACATATTTGTATCCAGTGTATTCTCAAATGACCAAAACAATCAAATCAAATCTTGGTGAAATATGAGATTTCATAAAGCACTGAATCGCTGCCCAGTGAATAATTAAGTACATTTTGTTTGTAAAGCACATGGGTCATTCCATGCCAACTAAAGGTTTTGTACCGTTATGTCATAGATTATAATATAAAATTCAAGCAATTTCAAGCAACCACGACAAATTTCAAAGCTATATGTATAACTCCATATTAAAAGAGTCCAGGTGCTAAACTGGCCTGCCTGCAGTCCGGATCTGTCACCACTGATAACATTTGGTGCATTATGAAATGAAAAATGCGACAAAGGAGACCCCGAACTGTTGATCAGCTGAAATCCTGTATCACACAAGAATGGAAAACATTTCACTTTCAGAAATGTTACAGCAGTGTCTCCTCAGTAAAAATACATAAAACTGTGTATATAAGTGAATACTATATAAAACCTTCAAAATATTTTCTTAAAACAAACAGAAAGTTTACATTTCAAAGATATTGCAAAATGTAAAAACTAATTGGAACATAGCTTTGAAGTTTTGCATGGTTGTGTAAACTAATCAACGTGTTAGACATAATTAAGACATACATGCACTTAATAACATCAATATACTGGACAAATACAAGCATGACAGAGACAGTCTGGGCATAAAACTGGTGACAGAAGTATTTAGAATGACTTTATGTAAAGATATTTGTTTAAAGTTTTGCCTTTAGAGTGGTAACAAAGCTTTTTAGATTGACTTTAATTTAAAGCCATATGTTTGAAAGTGGTATCAGAAGCAAGCATCAGCTAGGGATTATCTCATTACCTGGTTGCCAGGAATGACCCCTCCCCAGAATGCCGTGTCCACAAAGCATTGACCGCTAGCAGCTTGCAGTTTCTTATGAAAGTTCTCGAGACTGGTGGTTGGTGGAATACTATTGCTGTGGATGAGGCCGTGAATGACTTTGAGTATGAAGATCTTTAACATATATGTGTGTTTGTGTTTGTATGTGTGTGTTCTTACAGGGGCATGTCCACAATGGTGGTCACCCCCCCTGCTGCTGCGGCCCGTGTCGCGGTCCAGTACCCTTCCCAGGTGGTTCGGCCGGGCTCGTTGACGTGAACGTGGCAGTCCACTATACCTGCCATCACCAGACTGTTCCCCACATCCAGAACCTTTACACAGTAAACACAGAGCACGTGCTAAACAATTACCAGACCACATGAGGTACACCTGAGATAAAATACAGGGTTCGAAATGTGGCAGAGGTCTATGGGGGTCCCCTGGTGGAAGGTCTGACTGGGGGGTGACCTAGGCCTATATATAGATGAATACTATTTCACAATATATTTTGGTGAAGTTTACCACTGCAGGTTTTTGAAAAGTATTACCACGTAGGAGTCGTTTACCTTCATATCTGTATGAATATAAATTATTCTCACAGCTTTTTTATTGATTCAGCCTAACTCTTGCTTTATGATTCTCTTTTTCTCAGTGTAAATAAAGTTAAAGAGGAAAAGAAAAACACACTTAAAGCCATTTTAACTTGGAAGCTGACAAGACACATCGGCAAGGAGGTCCAACAGCCTTTCTCAGTTTATTAAAGTACACTATTCCAACAGTCAAAAAAATTGATTCCACCGTCAGCAGGCAGGTTTGGTGCATCCTAGGATTCAGTTTGCCAGACAAATGGTTAAAGTTCTGGTAGTTATTTGACTGTTGCGTAATGCCATAGCAATTCACTTAATAATGAAAAAATAATAATTAGGTGCTGGATTTTTTTTGTATTCAAAGCAGCGAGAATAGGCTTCCATAGTTTAGTCAACCTTTAATCAGAAAATAATACTTGTGTCATACAAAGGTAACAGGCACAACAGCTGAGAATTGTATTTCAGCTGAAAATTATATGGAACTGACTCACTAAGAAGCCCTTGTCTCTAGAGCTCTAGGTTTGAACTGAGCGGAGGGACTCGAGTAAAGAGTAAAAGCACCCCTACGCCATTATTTTGAGATACTAAGTCATCATTTTGAGATGCTTTCTTGTTAGATATTATTTCAAATAATGACTTAGTATCTTCAAATAATAGCATAGCAATTGATTAAGACTTAAAAAAATAGGTGCTGGATTTTTGTTTTTATTTTAAGAGTTGAGAATGGGCTTCATATTAAACAAATCTTCTCCAAAAAACACAATTACAAATTTACACATTTTTACTCATACTTCAAATCTGGTCGATCAGCCAAAACATGTTTAGTGTCGGAGGTTTTGTGTCTTTAGTGTAGCTAATTTAGCTAACAAGTAATCTTTAGCTACTATTAATAACAAATGACAGAACAACAGACAAAAGATGTCCGCTACTACTGTTTTCAGCTGTGCGACAGGATTTCTGGCTCTGTCAAAAGCCACATTACCAGGTCTAGAGATTATTTAACAGCCTGGTGCAGTTTGAAACAAGTGTGTGATGATATAGGCATGTTCACACAATCAGCTGTGTAGCCTGTTAGCTACATTAGCCTCATAGCACCACTAAAGACCCAATATGCATAGACTGATTGACTACATAAATTAGGATGGGGGAAAGTTGTGTAAATTAGATTTAACTTTTAAGGTGTGCACATTATCGTGTGAGGAAGCTGCAGTTCCGTCTGTCTCCAATAGAGGTCGTCTCTGTCTCACTCAGACTCCGGCTCACCTCCCCAGCTGTGTGCAGAGTGGCTCCTGGATCAGGCAGGATCTTGTAGATCTTTCCTTCTTTGATGGTGAGGAGCGCAGGCCTAACCTCCTCCCCAGTCAAAACCCTTTGGCTCCTCACAGCGCTCACTGTGGATCCTGCCTCCATGCTCCACACCACACAGACTGTTTAAACCGCTGTCCTGTCTGCAAAAGCGAGTGCTTTCGTGCTGTGAGGGCGCTGCACCTGCCCCACTACGTGCCCACTTCAGTGATGAGTTTGTTGACCTTTCGACTGTAGTTTGTACTGTAGACAGGGTAACCGCGCGGACTGCGCTCCTATATGTCAGTGCACCCAGCAAACACAGTTACGTTATGATAGCCTGTTGTTTTGGTCCTCACAACATTGAAAGGTAATTCCTCAGAAAGTTGTGACAATATTATCTGACAACATTGTGACAAATATGTAAGAACGACGTTATGTTGTGCATGGAACTCCATAGAATTTTGCTAAGTTGCCGACAGGTAGTCATCACGCCGTATGGCAACGTTACTGAATAATGAGGTCCTGACGACCTTATTTAGACAAGGTAAACAGCGCCACCTTTTGAATTCAAATCGAAAGCCACGCAACGTTTTTAAACAATTGTCTTTATTCAGTTTCAACAAGAAAAGCATTCTCGTTATTTTTCTTTTGAATTCTGAGTTATGTTGACAGTATACTGAAGTGCTGTGATGCAAAAGAAAAACATTACAAATGTTGGTCATGCCGATTACATCGTCTACAACTATAGCCTGTATCTAATTTGAGACAATGTGGTACCTTCGTCTCCCTCTGACTCTTCCTTGTCCTTGATGACCCCTCCTCCTTTTAGCAACCCACCACGTATCCAGACTCTTCTACCTCTGGCAATAGCAGGCTGTTGATGTTGTCTCTGGTCTGCATGCTCCATCTTTAGGAACAGTATGTAGAATTTCTTTTCTTTTCCCTGGCTACATACATGTGTTGAGGACTGAGAGCTAACACATTGCACTTGTAACCCATTCCTCAAAGCGTGTGTGATTGGTTGCTATCAAGTGTGAGAAAATTAAATCTGAAGACTCAACAATAAACAAATCATTTCACATAGCAAAAATAGGCCACCATTGTTTATGTATTATATGTATTTGACAGTTTTACCTATTGGCTGTACTATTTTGCATGTACCAATTTAAACGACCACAGTGATAAATGCAAGTGAGAGTAGTCACATTCAATAGAAAAGCTTATCGGTATCAAAGTGGCTAACACATAACACACAATATTTCAGACAATGTTTTGAAAATCTTGAGTTTCATTTGAGGAACTGAGACAAAGTGTAGGGCAGCCACATTAAAACTGGGACAATTCAGACTGACAAAGAGTGTTTTTTTCTGCTTAAGATTTTACATCACAGCGTTGAAATTATTTTGATATTGGGAGCAGGGAGTGCCATCGTTCTTTGTTTTGACTGAGCATCTGTATTACATTTTTTGAGGCTGTTTGTTCTTTCTTGCCTTTGAATCATAAGGAAAACTTTAGGCCTGTAGGGTGCAGTAGAGCATCCTCATCATACCGTGGCCTGTACAGGGGGACTTCACCAATTTTTCAAAATTTCTGCGCAATTCATTGGATGTGGTGTAAACAAAATCATTCAGAGTGGTTTAATGTAAAATGGTTCATTGTAGTGAGACTTACTCAGGTTTCTTTACAGTGGTGGTGATAAAAACTAGGGTTGCAATGTTTACAATGGAGATGTAGCTATGTAATTTGCTATCCAAAATGACCAGTGAAGCTTCATGTGTTTTTCCATGTTACGTTGATAATGGAAAAATAGAGGTGAAACTGAAAAATAAAGGAACTATTTTGCCTCACAATGCCCTCCATGTACTCCTCTGCCACGAATCAATGGATTTTCACAATACATTTTAGGCCAAAACCTTCTCAAAACTATATGCCTCAGACGTCAGGCAATGTATCCAGAACCCTTTCATGGAATAACTTTGTGTGGGGAACGTTTTGGAAGCAGATGTTGGGTTCCTCTCACCACCACTGTGAACAATTCTGACTCTCTAGAACAAAGCATTTCAAATCAAACCTCTCTGAATGACATTGTTTATATCACATATTTGGCACAATTCATCACACCTTTTAAAAAGATATAAGTCTTGTTCTTCTGTAATCCTTGACTGAAATGTGGTGACTTTTGCCTGCCACGAAAGCGTCTTCTGATGTACACTCACTGGTGTGAACTGTGCACCAGTTGAGGAAAAATAATAATGACCAGTAATATCATGTTTCGCCTCTGCTCCCACCCCCTACCTATCATGAAGTGAGAACAATCAGTTAGCTGAGAGATCCTTACTGATACTGTGTTTCAGTCTGAAATACATTAAGATATGTTACGACTGTGTTACACAAAAACTAAGAGTAAATTGTAGTTTGAATAGAGAATCAATCTCAAACAGTAGTTTTAGTTCAGACAGTATTAGTAAATCTGGCCATATTTGTGAACAACACGATGTCTTTTTTTTTCCATGAAGCATACATGGTGCACATACAGTAAAAGCTAGCAGAAAAGTAAACAACAGCTGGTTTGTTTGTTCTGAGATTAGAAAATCATAGTCTTTCATTGAATCACGTCATATCCTGCCATAAAGCAAGAAGCTTTTTACATGTTATAGGCATTGTGCTTCACTGGTATTGGATTCACTTTACTGCTTTGCAATTTTGTTAAGTGTTTGGTTTTTTATGACAAGATCTGATCATGTTTTCTATAGTCATTTAGACATAATGACACAGTAAAATGAATGGAATGTGCAGTTTATGTATTGATGCGTGTTTTGTACTGGAACACTATGTATGTGGAACGTTATGTATGTGGCCCTTTAAAAGACCATTTCAGGTGGCAGGTCCACAACAGCAATTCTTTAGCTGGATAAATTATTCAGGACTCAGTGCTCCACTGAGCTGAGGGAGGGAGGGAGGGAGGGAGGGAGAGGATATAGTCCTAAGGGTCTGGTCAAAGCAGATGTAATGTTGTTTCTGATTGAATTTAGCCACACTGACCAGGCCTTGGTCAAAGCTTCACCTCTTTGTCCTTTACCTTTAAACCCTTGTTCTATTGATCACACACATGCATGCCATGGACACAGATAGCATCATGCTCAACACCAGTGTTATTTGCACTGATGACCTGAGCCTTTCTCCTGCTCATCAGCGTTGAAAGCCTGTCTGAATCATACACTGGTGACAAATAGACAGAAAGATAGGTAGAAAGATAGGTAGATAGATAGATAGATAGATAGATAGATAGATAGATAGATAGATACACATGCATACAGATCGATAGTTAGATGGACAGACAGACAGACAGACATACAGATAGATAGAGAGAGAGATAGAGAGGAATAGACATACATACTGATAGATAGATAGATAGATAGACAGACAGACAGACTATTCTGAGATAAAGAAAAAGCATAATTTCTATGCATTTTTTCCACCCCTTACAAGGTTTGCAGTTGCTCCTGATTGATTGGTAGTTTTAGTGCAAAAAACTCTGAGCTGTAATGGATGCACTGTAAAAGGCCTATGGTGACATTATCACACTGTACTTAGAGTGCGATTTTATCTCCACTTGAGGAAAAGAGGAAGTGACATAGTAGACATAATGGAAGGAGATAAAGATGGAACAAAGAGTGCCGTCTGGGGAGGATGAGCAAGAAAGAAAAAAGACAGAAGAGAGACAGCAAGTGAAGATGCTTTTGGGCTGGGTGTCTATAGGTAGCCCGTGAGCAGAGTGTGTTGTAGAGGACAGTGGATTGCATTGTGCTTCAGTCCGAGTGAAACCCGAGTGGTATCTGCCCATCCCGCCATGGTAAATTCTGGATGTGCTGCCTAGTCACTCTGCATCCACGCCCCCCATTGTGCATGAACAAATCAAACAAAAAACACACACTGCCCTTTAGAGAAACAATGTGGCATCATTCATCCACTCAGTTAGTCTGATGTACTGTTTTTTTTTTACAGCACTAATACAATATACAGTATGATGATTTTGTCTGGTATAATTTTCATTTTTCAAATCTCAAGAGGACTGTGCACTTTTGAAATTATTTTCTGTGCATGCATAATTGATATAGCAAGAAATTTTGACAAAAAATCTGTTTTCTATTTTGTTTATAGTATTAATTTCACAATTGGATAGCCTATGCTGTACAATTCTTCCCTATTCTCTCTTCCTGTAGTAAACTGTAGTGTCCTTGTTTACAGTATGTTACATTCAATGACCTTCTACTGTGTAATGTGATCAGACCCACAGCTGAGTGCGAGTCTCATTAAGATTTAATTCTGGTGAATATATATTTACAGAAATGATCTAAGAATCCCTTTTTGCAGCACCAGCTGAAAGTCTGTGAATATAGACTAATTGCACTTTCTAATGATTACATAATAAGATGTATTTCTCAAGTGATTTTTCATCCATTTAGGCCTTAATTCACATTCTTTTGAAATTTTAAGCCAGAGCTGAGTCACAGAGAGAGTAGGGAATTAGTGTCAAACGGGGCTGCTTTTATTGTGAGTGCATTACATGGGCCCACTTTCCAAAGGATTTGCGAGGGGGGGTAGAGGCCGATACGCTCAAAGAGTTTGTGAATTGAGAGTAATCCTACCCGAAAGCCAATTCTCCTTGACAGATAGTCCAGAGGAAAGCGAGAAAAGAGGGCAAATTGTATTTACAGTGTGTAACTGTCCTCTTTACTTCATGTCATGAAAACTCTTATGTTGTATTTAGAAAAAGAACCATATACTCAATTAATTATGACCCTTGTAGAGCTCCATTGTAGAGCATTAAAACAGCAGTGCTGTTTGACACCTGACTTTCAAACTCATCTGTGTTTATCTCTTTTTGTCTATTTAACAGGCCTTGTTTAGTAGACATTAATAACAGAGGCCTACAATTTAGATGTATTTCATAAAGATGACTTCAGGGCTCTGTATTTTCATATCCTAACTTTTTAGTGCAGGAATTATGAAATACATCTGAGAGAACTGTTTTTGTGATTTTTCTTATTGAAGATTTTGTACCTAATAGGAATGTTTAAAAATTGTTAAAAAATGAGGGGAGAGACTTTTTGTTTCCAGATGGCAACAGTATGGAACAAATGTAACTGCAATCTACAAAATATACCAAGTAGAAAAAAACAGTACACTGCCATAGGATATAGCCATGTTCATCCAGGCATGAAAAAACATACCCATAACAGCCAAATATGCATAAAAGTACAATGGCATTGTGGTCATTTACTCATTTTGTATAACAGATTGCAGTGCCGTTGCCATATGGCAACAATTATATTTTATTGTCTAATATAAAACATCTATCTGAAATATATGAAAAACAACTGTAACCTCCCACAGACTGTGTCAACTATTTTGTTCTTGAAGTTGTTGTGTATGAAATTTGAATTATACACTCTAAGAGGGGTTCACAGGCCTAGCCTCACCATGTGTATGTGGAAAAGTACAGACTGCAACAGGACAGATGTGATCAGATTAAAGTCTTCAGTCTCCAAAAGGAAAAGTAAAAAACTTTAAATATTGTAGTCAGGCAAAAATTGTAAAAACATCATTGTTGCCATATGGCAACACCATGTAGTAAATGGCTAATATGAAATCAATATTGAATATAATCAAACAACACAAAACACTATTATTATTATTATTATTATTATTATGGATATTTTGCCTCACATGGATTATAGCACCAGTTTATATATTCTTTTATGTATAGACTTTGAGTCTACAAGGTTAAGTGTGTTTTATCAGTGTATTAGAATCTCATGTATGATATAGGCCAGCCAAAGCTGTGTTGTTGTATGTGCCATTTACTCTAGGGATTCTAATCTCTCTCTCTGCTCTTCTCCCTCCCCCTTTGTTCCCCACCTCCTCTGCCTCTCCCTCCTCTTCCTCCTCCCCCTCTCGCTCTCTCTGTCCATGCTGCATTGATGCTGCTGCCTCCCTCAGCGATGATGTCACTGGCCCACTCAGGCTCAGCATCACTACTCTAAGCAGCCAGCAGAGCCATTTTGGCTTCTGCGTTACAGAGTACACACAGTACTCTCCTCACCCAGCCTCTCCCGGATCAAGTAGGCCTCATCGGGAACACAGAATACCCCCTCCCCTTACCCCCCGTGGACCATCTCTAAGTGGGGAGTGAGGACAAGGGGGACGTTCTCTGATTATCTGAGGCAGGGGCTTTGAAAGCCAGACAAAGAGGCACTACTGGCAGCAAATCAACCGGTTTGCTGTGTAGTTACCAGCTTAGGAAGCCAGAGAAGCAGCACTGTAAAAGGTAAGAGCTTCTTTCTATTTGCTGTTATGTTGCTGAGGACAATGCAGTTTTAATGAGGCTGGCTGTTTGCTGCTGGGTCACCAAGGTAGAATTGCTCTGGGGTGCGGCTGCTGAGAGGCTGTAAACAAACGACAGGCTGTCACGAGAAAGGATGAAAAAAGGTGTGTAGTACATTGAAACAGATGCTGTGTCTTTATATAAGTCTTGTGTGGGTTAGGTTATCTTTATTAGTAGAGTCTGTGATAAATGCAGAGTCATCCACGGCGTGGGCTGTCCTGTGTCAGCCACTAAAATCTGTCACTAATTGACGTCATAGGCCGTACACTTCAGGTGAGAAGTGGTCTATCAATTACAGGTTATGACCTTTCCATTTCAGTTCGGGCTCTGACGTACTGAGTGGTGGCAGCTTGTAATTCCTTAAATTAAACTGTATGTTTCTTGTCAAGACGAATGCTCGGCTGTTTGGCGAAAGTCCAAGTGTCGTGAGGTCTGTCCTAAACCTGAACGCATCAGCCCACCGTCGTTTTTTCTTCAGAAAGGTGACGAAAGAACTGGAACATTTCAGATGAGGATCTGTCCAGTCACGGTGGATGCTAATGCTAATCTTCGGGTAAATTCTGTTCTTCCACACAAAATAGTATTTTGCTGAAGAATTTTCAACGGAAATAATTTTTCCACTTTCTTACTATATGGGTTACCCATATTAAGTAGCGTTTTGAAGCTATGTTTGAATATTTTATGTAAACTGTAAATGTAGCTTAGGCAAAATTTAATGACGACTACTGAGGGTGTAGGTAGGCTATATATGAGGGTGTAGAGGGGAAGGTGTTGTGAACGGGTAAGACACCAGTCTAATATGTCATTGTCCTTATGGCACAGCATGGTATTGGTCTCTGTTTCATATATTTCTTCTTGAACATTTCAGGTAAATTTGCTTGTACCTTAAACTAGAACTTTCTGTAACACTTCATTTTGAAAGCCAATTGCTTAACTTACCTTTAACATACGAATAAATGCCTGAGAAATTCACCCTCATTTTTCCTAATCCTAACCATGGCCCTAATCCTACACTCTTAAAAAATATGGTTCGTCAAGGGTTCTTTAGGAAAGGAAATGGTTCTGTTTAGAACCGTACGTTGTATATAGGGTTCTTCTATTATACAAGCTTGACATTGTAACAGCAGAAGAACCCTTTTTAGTGCTTTATAGAACCATTTTCAACACATTCTCCGTCAATCTGAAGCACTATTTCACCACGCAGAGAGCCAATTAAGAATGAAATGGTTCTGTGTAGAGCTCAAGGTTCTAGAACATTCCTTTTACTAAAGAACCCTGGAAGAACCATCTTTTTTAAAAGCAACCTTAAAACAAAAACCTTACCCTGGTACTAACTCTTGCTTCTCTAGATAATGTGTTAAGAATTTGTATGTTTGTAGATGATCTGTTGGGTCCATCCAAATAAAGGGGGACTGAGCTTGCCTATTGCAGTAAAATTAACAGTATTCAAAATGTTAATGTTGAATAAGCTGATGTCAAGGCTCTATTCCGTATCATAATTTGAGTCCATGTAGTTTTGTAGCACTGTCATCTCAATTTGGCAGGTTTAATGTTAATTCTGTAAAGGAGCCACACACATAGCTTGACCTTTAGGGTCAAGGTTAATTTGTTAACCTGGACCACTTTGTGCTGTCAAGTGGATAGGAATTTTGATATGGATGGCCTTGTTGTCATCTTAAAAATATTAAATACTCTTAATGGTCATACTAGTATTGTTGCAGTAGGTGAGCTTAGTCCCACTTAACTGTATGTTCTTGTTCTCATCTTTAAATTTTGATTATGTTCACGTTACAATTATTGCAATAGGCAGGCTGTAGTTAAGGATAAATGAAAAACTGCCTGAAAGTCATTTTAAATATTTGAAATAAAATTTACATTAACCGATTACAAGACATTTACCAGACTGACGTTTGATTTGATGTGGAACAGCAAAGACTACAACCACAAAACAAGCAAAACTAGTACTGTCTTAATTAGACATAGAATAATGAGAGTCGTTCATTCCAATTCAACAGAATGTAGCACAGCGTGATATTGCTTTAGAGAGAAGACTGGAGCCTCCCCTGCAGCCAGCACACATAAGATGGCTTGTTGTCTTATTCAAATAAATCTCCAGGGTAATAACAAGTATGGCAGTGAACAACTGCATGCTGTTTGTCAGCTACCGAGCTTGTTGAAATAGAAATCAATGACTCAGAAATCAGAGCTTCTATCATGATACAGTAACAGTGCCTCCATTTTGGTCAAACACCATGACTGCACTGAACTCTGTGTGTGTTATTGGGCCATTGTAATCCTAGGAAGCACACTGACATTTAGCCAGACTAGCAGTTCTTTTGTTGCTGCTGGACCCAATATCTGCCTCTTGGTAACTGTAGCTGACTCGGCATGATCTTTTCATGCTCAAATCATACAAGCCCTGTCACTCAGCAATCTCTGAGCAATGAGATATTAAATGTTTGGGTTTGATTATCTAACCAGTATTTATTTTTTGATAAGACTCTGTTACTATCAGCTAAAATGAAACAGTGTCTGTTTTTTGCTAATGATATTTTGTGTAAATTTACTTTTGATGTCAAGCTCTGGTGTGGGAAACTGAGATCTGCTGTCTCTTGACCTCAAAATGATGTGTAATATAATTTGCAACAGAGCAGAAAGGTATATCAAAAGGAATAGTTCCTTGCCATTGTTTAGTACTTGGAGTGCAATAGGATTCTTCTTTGTTTTGTAATATAGTCAACATCTCTCCTCTTGAATGGCTAAAATGAGATCATGTTGGTGTTCTGCATGAGTGTAATGGCAATTACAATAAAAAGTCGTGGTCAATATTATGCAATAAATCATGCTTGTTTTCTTTCCAGCAGGTGTGAGGCCTGGTCTGGACAGTGCGCAGTGGGACCCGTAAAGAGGCACCATGGCAGGGGCCTCGGTGAAGGTGGCGGTGCGTGTCCGCCCCTTCAACTCACGGGAGATGAGCAAAGAGAGCAAGTGTATTATCCAGATGTCAGGAAACACAACCAGTGAGTATCCATGTGTACCTGAGCCTCAGTGTGCTCTCACAAATCACCTGTGCCACCCTTACGCTTTGATATGCAGTCTTTGCTCAATGGGCCAAAATCCTATCTTTTTCTTGCATTTTATATTTTCCTCCTTAGCGTATTTATCTACCAAAAACAGTCACAATTCATTTTTACATGACCATTTTCAGGCCTCTTTTTATACCTTAAAATCGGTTGTTTTTGTTACTGTGCCTTTAGGATTGACATATGTAAATGAGCTCTTGTTCTGATTGGCTGTGCTGTATTGTGCCTCATTGAAAAAGCAGTCCAAGCTGAAACAACTTTCTTATAACTTCAGTGTGCATGGGCAGGACAAAATATTTCAGAATGTTATGGCTTGGTTAACATCTGTGATTTAACATCTGTATTTCAGTCTCTGTTTTAATAAATACAAAGCTCTCCAAATGTCAAATAAGTAACTAAATAGTTTAAACATGGCCTCATTTAACATTTTCTGAAGGGAAGATTAACATGGACATGCAAAAAGCCTAAGATTAATTGCTCTGTGTTTAAAAAAATAATACAAATGAGTGAAACCTTATGTTGATTGTTTCGATGAGCATCACAAGGTCACTGAATAAAACTCTTTACCTGTATGTTATTAAATTAAAAGTAGAACTGAAAGTATCAAAAGGTAGAATATTAAGTTGTTTACCACTAGGGCTGGGTGTCGTTAAAATACCGATGCTGATACCTTGATTTTAATACCAAGTCCTAAACAGTACTTTTTTGATACTCTCTTTTCATTTGCAAACCAAATGTTGGTGTGGCTTAAACAAAAAACAAGTGTAAGGTGCTGGAAGTGGGTGTATTTACTGATTGTAATGGATTGCCAGAAGCTAATCAAGAAGTGTTGATGTTAATTACATGCATACGGAATGTAATTTAGACCATTAGCCAATCAAGTTCAAGAGGCTTTATTGTCATTTCAGCTATATACAAGTACACAGTGAAATGAAACAACATTCCTCCAGGACCATGGTGCAAAACAGACATAATCTGGAATTTCTTAGCGGGATGGCGTCATATTGTTATGTATATGTGTGTGTCAATCCAGTCTGTGGGAGCTGAGGAATCTGATGGCTTGTGGAAAGAAACCGTTGCTCAGTCTGGCTGTGAGGGCCCGAATGCTGGGTACCTTTTTTCCGGGTGGTAGAAGAGAGAACAGTTTGTGTGAGGGGTTTGTGGGTTCGTCTACAATGCTGGTGGCTAGATTTTGGAACAAGCATGCCTATTGGCTCATAGATGCTAAGAGAGACTGCTTAGATGTTGAAATTTGGTGTTGAATGACAACATTTTTGGATACTCTATAGTATACAAAAAATGCAATCTGTACCATTAAAGTATTGAATTTCAATACCCAGCCCTGTACACCTTGAAAAAAGCATTGCACCTACGATACATTGTGCAACATTAATGCAGACTTTTTTTAGCTTTTATGAAGCATGTGTAGCTGACCTCATCTGGGATGATTTCATAAGGGCAGCCATTTTGAGATGCTGTTATGACAAAGCAGTTCACTGATCACTGGACTGGAGGGAAATCTGCGGAGTAGCTCATCTGATCTGATAATCGCTTTGTATGAAGTCATGTGTCTAATATAGTTGCAATGAAAGTGGGACAGAAAAACTGTTGAAACGAACAGTTGATATTCCGTAGTCAGAGAGACAGCTACAAAGACATAAATTAGTTTTTGAAGACAGTCTATCTGAAGATGCAGGCTCAACATGAGGATCTTCTGATATCTTAGTCACTAAGTATGCCTAGAGTTCAAGAGATGTAATTTTAGCATCTCAAAAACAAATGTAATTGGTTGTGTAGTTTGAGTCTGGCATTAATTTGCTCTATGACTAAACAGAATTAATCTACACAAGTATGTTTTGGATGTGCATTTTTTATTCTTTAGATCATTACTGGGCTGTTTGTGTTTAGTTGTGTTGCTGTAGCGATGTCTTGGAATGTGTGTGTGTTCGGAAACCCGGGGAAGGCGAGGAGAACTTAGCGGATAGGAGACTGAGGCAGATTTGATTTCTAGTCTGCAAAGCCATTGATCAATAATGAATGAGACCTTGTAAAATATTCAGAGTTTGGCCTAATTTAGCTTCCTCCTGTCATGGGTGGTTTGAGACAAACAGTATGGCCACCATGCTCTCTGTCTCTCAGCATGGCTGGCCATGAAGCGTTGAGAGTTCTGTTGGAGTTTCCATGCGTGTGGCATGTCATAATGGATGGAAGGTCAACAGAACGTTACCAGGAACAAACTGTAGACCTGTGGTTGCTAACTTCTGTGTTTGCAACATGCTGATTGGTTTTATAAGGAACAAATGGGGTCTTAATTATGCTGGATGCAATTCTACACCACACAGGATCAGGGTTGTGTGAGAGGAGTGTAGGATGGCAAGGTTGCAAAGGTCTGCAGGATGAGGCTAGCATTCCAAGAGAACACAAAATACACATATTACCATTCAAAGTTTGCAGTCACCTTAATAATAATTATATTAATTACTGTTATTAGTTCATTCAATCAAAAACTTTTACATTGTAGATTTAAATACTATGAGATGGTATTATACTATAAAGGGAATTAAGTTTGTTTTTATTTTTTAAAAACTGCATAATTCAACAGTTAAGATAATTGAGAAGTCATTCAGAGTGGTTTGGTGTGAAATGGTTCATTGTAGAGAAACATACTGACTCATATTTCTTTACAGTGGTGCTGACAGGAAGCAGGGGTCACAATGTGTAATGCAAATATAGCTATTTGATGTACTATCAAAAATGAACAGTGAACCTATACTTGTCGTCTGAGTTTCAATATGTAATGTTGGAAATAGAGGTAAATCCATAATCCATAAACAGAAGTTTAGAGTGCTGTTTTACTTTAAACTGCCCTGCATGTCCACTAGTAATATGTTTTAACATAGGATTTTATTCTCAGTGTTGCACAACTTTCTTAATCATCTACAGTTTTATTCATCATTCTGCATACATCATTTTTTCAACTACAAATTAGTTGTTAAATTATTAAATCAGAGGATTAAAACTGCACAGTTCTGTAGATCTATTTTAAGTAGTTTTTGTATTAACATAAATTGTTATAGTGACTAGTCTATTCTAGTTTATTACACTGTGACCACAAAATCCAAATGTGGTTGAGCGGCCAAGATTTTTTCAAGGTGGAATCAAGAAGACTGGCCATGGATAATTTTGATTCATACTATACAAGTACAAATGGTAGAGTTGCTATCATTTTCTTAATTGGAAAATTTTTGGTGACTGATTATGTCAACACTGCAGAGAAAAAATCTAAGGCCTGTTAGTGAACATATTACTGCCTAAATGGTATTGGACTTAACAAAAATGAGTTTTGTCTGTGTTGACCAGCTGTTTGTTTAAATTGTGTACACTGTGAGAAAAAAAGGTACTGCTCAGGTACATTTTGTTCATCAAGGTACAAACAATGTGAATGTCCCCTTAAAGGTACAACAATGGTTTTAATGTCCAACTGTGTAGCTTATATACATTTTTTCAGAGAAAAACTACACATCTGTACCCTAACCAAAGGTACTGAAGGCGTGCCCATGAGGGTACCAACCCATTGTCAGTTCAGTACCTTTTTTCTGAGACTGTATAGACTGGCTTTACTGGCCTGGCATTACTTTTGCCCTCTAGTTTCAGCTCAAACAGAACTTTCTATAGTGTTGGGGCTTTGTCATTGCTCACTGTGCCTTTAATTATAGCATGGTTATCTTTAAAGCATCCTTTGAGTCCTTCTTTTGAAATCCCTCAGGTATTCAGTCTTACTTTCTTCCTCCCAGTAATTACAGGAATGCTACTGATGCAGCATTTCTTTCAACTCTTTGTGCAGTTTCTCACTGTAGATGTTGCTAATTATGTGAATTTTCTTCTAGTAATGGAATAATAGTAACAAAACAATGTGTATTATGAAGTAGGAGTGGGAGATATGGCAAAATTATTATTATATTAATATTATATCATGGTACCTCAGGACATTTTAAGGAAGATATACATCACAAAATTGAATAAGTTGGAACAGACAAAATAGAACCTGTACTGCAACGTATGAAAATACTATAATAATAATAATGAACCTACTGTAATTACTGTATTTTACAAACTGCTTTACACTAAATCCAATTAAACAGGCCTAATAATACTTACTTTCTAATGAAATATGTAGTCAGTCAGTGTTCCTTAAGTACATAATTTATCACGATAATGATAAAATACTGTCTTATTGCTCCCCCTCCATTATAAACCTGAGCACTATTATACAACACTGGCTGATGATTTCTTAAAAGATGTGTGCTCAGAAACACTGGGCAGATGACCTGATCATGGCCTTTTCACTGGACATGACTTTTAGTTCAGAGGAGTGCATAAGGCCAAAGAAAAGAGTGAAAAAAGTGAATAACAAGACTGTCTGCATGGATGGCCTGCATAGTTTGCCAACGGCTATTCAGAGTCCCTTCAAAGACATCCTCCCAAAGATGTCCTCACAATCACGAGGCATCTTATACTTGGTTGTGTAATGACTTGAAGAATAACATAAAAGGATGAGATCTAGTCACATACTCTTGTGGAAAAGTGCTGTTACTTAGCATGTTTGAACATATTTGGCATTCCTACTGTGCATGAGGAGATTCTCAAGGCTTTTCCTCACAGTGAGTGTGCTGGCACACAACCTACGAACTTTAACAGCAGATTTCTGTGTGGACTGTTTTTATCTCATGGCATTGAGATGCAGACTCTGTAACATGGCAAGAGGATGTGTGATGTCATCAATGAACTCAGGTTGCTCTGTTGTTTGGAGCAAGGCCAGTCGCAGCATCGGGGTGTAAATGACTGGTTGTTAGCAGGAGTCTGGGCCCAAAGAAGCCCTTTTGTACCCTTGCGCAGGCTGCTTTGTCCTGGCTGTCGGCTGGAGATGGGTCAATAGC